TTATAAGCCGTTCTGTACAATGCCAAACTCCCGCTTCCCTGGTTACGGGAAGCGTACACGAACATGACCTGTAGCACGTGCACGTGCGACGTGCATTAAAAACAGGTAATTCATCAGCATGAGTACAATTAACCGCGTTAACAAAACAAATTCGCTCGGCAAATAGAAATAAAAAATCGGTCCTAATTCGCTCACAAGGGGACATCAGTCAAAGCCAGCTGCGTATTACTTATGGATTTCTGGGTGAGTACGTAGTGTTTCCGCTCTTGATTAAGTATCTACACTTATCCTACCTCATTACAATACGATAAACATTTATTTACGGTTCCCGTATTTAATATTTTTTATGCGTAGATTTGGATAGTGTAGTCCGTGCGCTTCTGCGTCCTGCAGCAGGACCAGGCCGAGGAGCAGAACGCCCGCGAGAGCATGCGCCACGCCGGCGCTCCCAAACGGACCGTATCATCATCACAAGACTGGCAAATGAAGGAACCTGAGATGCATAACATTATCTCTAGGGTGAATTAGCGGATCGCTGACTGCGCGCAGCCATCAGACATCCGGTGGCGATAAACAAGTTAATTGTTACCTACCAAAGAATCACATTACTTCCTCAAAACTGCGGTTACCACCCGTATAATTAGTTCTCTAGGGACATTCCTCGTGCACGGGGTGATTTCAGCGGCTATTAGTAAGCTGTAGGATCGAGTCTGTGCGAATGGGTATATTAAGTCCATTTCCGGTTTGTGGCCGTTATTTGCAGCAAACTGACGAGCGCTAATTATAGGTGATTGAGAAGACATGTTGTCGCCCGTCGGCGTCTGGGCGGCGTGCATTTCACAAACGAAGAAGACAGACTGGCAACGATGCCGAACCGGGTATGACACCACAACAGCCGCTAGATGCCGTTGAGTTGTCTCCCAGTTCTTTCTTTTTTATCGTAAGCTTGTCAATAGGTTTATGATTTTTTAATCGTAACTAAAAATTCGTAAGTAAACGCCTGACGCCGTTAATTAACGAGACATTATATCTAATTGCGTTTAATCCAAATGTAGAAGCACAACCTTAAAAAAATGAAAGAGTAATCTACTGCAATATGATATTCTCTGGAATTTTGTATTACCGGTAGTGACAAAATTCCGATATTTTCTTTCATTAAACGCAAGTCCATAATAATTAATACCACGAGTATACAGTAATATGCGAAGTGAGACTGTTACCATTCGCGAAAAGGTTGCAGCAAGGTCAAGTAAGGTATCATTAATAATATTTTGACAATAATTTATTAAGCACATGAGCAATTAAGAAACATGAGCTGGCTGTCATCATCCCGAGCGGATTACCGGAGGGTTGATTCCGCGCAAGCCTCATCCAGTGGCGGTAAAAAAAGTTAGTAACTCTTTACCGTAATTAGAGGATCGTAATTCTTCTTCACAGCAGATGTTCATCCGGCCTTTTGGGAAATTGCTAACGTGCTGCCCGATTCCAGCGGATATAAGTTGTGCGTTATGTGTTAATCTGGTACATACCAGATCAATGTTTATGTGGCATTTAACGATTACAGTCGCATTTTAACCAGACGCTGTGCCTTGTTTGCTGAGAAATTTGACTGCCTCCACCATGACCTTTACGGGCTGTTATTTCATCGTTCTTATTGTTCCGTGTTCACTTATCCGTATTATATATGCCTCGCAAACGGAGTGTTCTAACAGTTCCATTATCGAGATCAATATAATCGAGAACGGCAAGAAAATTCAGTTGTTTCATACACGACTTGACGATTTTCTGCGTGACAACTTGGTGGATGCGGACGTGAATTTTGGCAACAAGTTTGGCAAACGCTACAAGCGTACGCCAAAGAAGAACAACCACGGTCATCGCCACCGCCCTCCAAACTGCCGACATTTTTTGAAATGGCAGCCTATTTTGTTGTGTTTGCAATTGTAGGCGTACTGGCTTTTGTATATATATGGGTGAAGATCATTCGCAACGATCAGTGGGTACCGTGACATATTTGTGGCGTTGGAGTCAGTTGGAGCTTTAATTATCTCGCTGTGTGTAATACCAACAAATTGTCCATTTCTTCCATTAGACAGCGAATAGAGAAATATCGTTATTTCTGCCAATCAGCGTCAGAGCGTTTGTTGTGGCCGAAAGAGAGCCCAACCGGTGTCCGCATCAGCCGTTTGGCATGGCGCAAATCATTTCCACCCCATCGTTGTTCTTGCACCTTGTCTGCCCTTCAAACCTACAGCTGTAGCCTGTAGCTATTATAATTACCGGCATCGGCGGCATGCAGTATCGGAAATCCCAACGCCATCCTTTGAGTTACGTGGATACAAGCCTACCTTTACTGCGCAGTGGACCGCCGCTCCAACCGTGCAGAAAAGGTTAAACATGTGCCCTTACGCTTAATGAACAGAAGATATCTGAGGAATTTTAACACAATTATTCATCTTACCACTGTGCATCTCGCGTGCCGTTAAATTTCTTGGTTTTCTAGCTACTGCATCATTATGAGTGCGCAGTTAGCTCATTGGCATGTGATTGTACCGTCTCACCGTTTATTACCGCCGAATTTATGCGGTTCCGTTGTGCAGGATTACGAATGAATATTGACTCAGGGTTGCTGTCGCCTGTCGGTACAGCCCATTCAAGAAGCAGTCAGCTGAACATATAGGCTGTAGAACAGAAAACCCAAAATCATATAGTTCCGATACTGTTTATAAAGGCGCCCGCTGCGTCTTTAAAAAAATCCGGAAGCTTCAGCTGCCACGGATCATATTAACGATCAAACAGTTCCACAACCTAACACCACCGGCAGTACCTCAGAGCCGCTTAAACGAAATGGAGGTACGCTGCCTGCATGAGCCACACCTCGCGCGTATAACCCGGCCGCAGCCGGCACTCGATGCGCGCTGTCGAGCGCGCCTGCACCTCGGGGACAGCCGAGGTGAGGTTTCCCGCGCGACTAAGCTCTATCGCGCACTCGGACAACGTATCCAGTGTCACAGCATCGAGTGCCACATATATGCGGAAGTCACGCTAAATAAACATAAAAAACATAAGTAAGTCAGTAAAAAACATAAAACAAAATGTACTATACATACAATAGTATGATACATTTCTACACGAAACGAGAATTTTTTGAATTTGGCGGTTATTTTGGCAATTATCAGAGCATATATTGGCCATTCTTCAATCAGAGTCGGTACTTGCGGCATTTAGGAATCTCTCTTAACTGGGCGACACTGCCGCGCATTTTCGCGCTTCTGCTGACACTTAACATCGCACCCGTCTTCCAACCCGTTGCATCCCTAGTCTGGATGATCGGCTTCCCCGTGAATCAGGATCAATAAAATGCGTATCCTATCGTACGGGATGTACTGCATGCCTGTGAATTGCTTACGGGGAAGATTGACGGCGCTGCAGCTGATCCGCTGCTTTCTTGCTACCGCGCATGCCGCTAATCTAAACAGGCGAAACATGTGGATTTTCCAGGATGAGTCCGGATGTGCAGTGCGCGTGTTTGAGCAGTACGCCACAGCTGACATATAGTGCATGCCCGCGGTGGATTCAGTTACTGGAGGGTTCTGAGACGAGCAGAAAGCTTCCAATGAATCGCCGAATCGGCCACAGGGAATTGGTTGTGCAGCTCTGTATGAATTTATCTTTGTGTTCTCATCCTGATCAGGATCGTTAGGAAATCGGAATGACAGTCTTTCATCTGTTTCGTTTCATGATAAAAGGCTGTGATTCCAGTTTTCTAACGGTGAAGTTATTCCAGAAAATGTTGTGGAAGCCATCGTTGGGCAAGTTGGGAATCGTTCGCTTTTCATAGTTGAAAGATAGCTGCTGAGGAAAAGAAAGCAGCAAAGGGATCACAGATCATTCGCTATTCAGCTATCTATATAACTTGGCTTATCTGTTCCGGAAATCAGTCGAAAATTCTGAGCATTTGCTTTTGAGAATGCCTGGATGCTACATTCCGGTACCTCGTACTATCTACTTTGTATTAGCTACTCTAGTACGCCCATTACCTTCCTCGGTGCCTGCATTAATTCATATTTATTAATAACACAACCGTCCTTCTACAACGGTAAGAGCTTAAAAAAAAGAGACACCTTAATAAATTTTTTCACCATTATTTTTAATACAAAAACTACGAAAATACTAAAAGCATTGATAAACCGTTGGTACTTTTACTTTATTGTCCTGCCTGTAAACTATCCACCAACAGACATTACGTGGGTCACTCTACATTTTATAATTGTGACATCAATAACTATTTATTAAATGCGATGTAAAGATCCGCACAGCTAATTATGTACAAGCCAGTGATTTATTTCTTGCGTAAAGGTACAGCCAGAATTGCAGGTTCATGGGTTACGCTAAGCTCTATACCACGCCACGGTCATTAAGCGTTACGTGGATGTGGCACGGCTGATATGCTCGTTATATATTGATGCCATATAAACAAATTTATCGTAATATCCAAGAATTTAATCGAATTTGTTTGCCACAAGCGAAAAAAAAACGCCGGAAGAACGGATTCATACTCATTTCATAGAGGAGATGGGTTATTTGTCGCACTCGCTGGCCATGAAGACTTTCGGAACTTTCGGGTCAGATTTTGCGGAGATGCTTCGTTTTATTAACAGGAAGATACGGGACCTAAGGAGGAGGCTTCAACAACTAAACGATAAAGTATCTATTCGCTAACAGTGAAAGAAAGATTTTTCTCTACACTGCCAGTCACTTTCGGGCTTCGGCTGACATATGATTCCACCACCGTACTTCAACTCCCTAGAGCTTGGGTCTCTATATTAGAATAGCGGACGGAACGACATTCTATTTAATCGCGGATGATATTTATTTTCATCACAGGGCAAAGTCACGTAAGCATATTCTACCGGTTATCAAACTAGCATCTGTACACGATGTCGCTCAGTATCTTCATCGAGCAAATTTACCCACTGTCTTCCGGAAAAAAGCTGTTCCAACGTTTCACTCTATCTGTAGAAAGGTGTTATTATGCAGTAATGGTTGAACAGTAGCAGAACACTTTCTATTTGAATTTTCGTTCGAAATAAAATGTATGTATCTGTATTTTACGATTACCGTTTTATCGAATTAGAAGCCCAGGGTTACAAATATTACAAATGGCCCACGGGGTGGGCTCCAATTACGGGCATGGGCTTGTATTTAGGGGGGGGGGGGGGCTTCAATTTTTCAAACCAGCTTTTGGCATTTTTTAATATGGGCTTTACGGTATTTATTTAAGCCCATAGGCCTCTATTTCGAGGGGGGCTTATAACTTTCAAACCACCTTAGGGGTGGGCTCTAATTACGGGGGGGCCTGTATTGGGGGGGGGGGCTTCAAATTCGATAATTACGGTATATGCCATTTTGCAGTTACAGGTACCACCAAGAGACTTAGTCAGCGCTGCCAGTTTGGAAAGCAAGGCTATTTTGCCCCTCGATCTGTCTGAACGGTCATCTGCTGTTCGTCAAAACATTCACACAGCTCAGGACAGCTCCGATGCTGACGTCGTATCTTAAATCGTTAAGATGAAGAAAGATGCCCTCAAACGCCTTCATGACGCTGGAATTTGTGGGATTTTCTGTTTCCACGGCTCTCATCACCCGGTCCGGGACGGACAGGTACTTCCACGATGTGAAGGTAGGCCGTCTGCATAACCCACACCTCGCGCGTATAATCCGGCCGCACCCAGCACTCGATGCGCGCCGGGCGTCGCGCGTCCACTTTGGGAATAATCAGCGTGCTGGCGACGTTCCCCTGGTGACTGTACTGCACCTCGTAGGTTGACAGCGTTTCAAGCGCCTCATGGCGCGCGTCGAAGGGAACATACAGGCGAAAGTGACGCTGGTCGGGATCAGTATAGATTAAATCACGCAGCGGGTGTTTTTGGGGCGCTTCCAGCCACTGCCGGTTAAAACGCCAGATGAAACCGTGGAGCCTGTCGAAAGCCTCCAGCGGATGGGTGAAGCCGGTCCCGCAGTGGAAGCGGGCTTCTGACGCCCACTTGACTGTGACGTTGGCCATCGGGAGTGGGAAGATTTCGCTACGGGTGGGCGCCACCCGCAGGCGGAAGGCCTGTAGCCGGCAGAAGCGGGACGGATCATCCGGGCAATTATTTTGGCACTCCACGATACCTCGATCGCTCCAGCTGAGGTTCTTCATCATCAGCGTGGCGAAGGCTGCCGTTATGTTGACAGCGTGACTGACGTCGTAGGCGGCGGTGACGTTAATGCCGCTGCTTCGGACGACAGCCAGCACTTGGCCCTTGTGAACCCAGACTATGGTCGGCGTCTCCGTAGTGTTGGGTGTCAACTGCAGGGGACAGTGAAACGTTGCCGCTTCGCCTGAATTCGTCTGCACGACGGGGAGGTTGTCGATGGTGATGCTGGATGCCTCCTTGTTGTCCAGTGGCAGATGAATCCGTCCGTTCACTGGATGACGCGATGCGTCGTTTAGCAGTTTGTCCACTAAAAAGATTAAATAAACACGGCAAGTACATCGGAACGCAGCCACGGTAATAAAATACGCCATAAAAGTTTTGTGTCATTGGCATAGAACACTGAGAACGTATCAACGACACAAGGAAGCTTAAGGAAGTAACGACGTAATAAGGTATATGTGCAGTGATTATGGGAGCACTCACATCGTGCAAATGTACATTCCCAGCTGTCATCCAAGCAATACCGTATGCTGGTCCTGGACACGCTCCCATTTTTTTGTACTGTGCAAGCCATACAAAAATCAAGGAATATCGAGATCAGTGCTATCGCATACAAAATAAAGGCCAAACCTCGCGGGACTACGATTAGAGGCAGGCGTTGGCTGCAGAGAGCGGTGTAGCGCACGGGCCGCCTCGTGCGACTGGGACCGGACCAATCAAACGCAGGTGACGCCGATAGATGCCGTGATGCCATACAGCACGATACATCCTGCTCGACGGTCGTGCTGGCTGCGATTGGCCAGCGCGTTGCCTTGTCCGTTGTCCGCAGTTCAATGTTGAAGGTACTGCCGCAGTTGCAGATAAGGACATAAAAGTTTCACGATTGCACGGCAAGCGCTTATCCAAACGCTGTACTATGTATAATCATGATGAGGTTCGCAGCCTATCGCAGCGGCGCTGCAACTTAAACAAGTAATAACTAATGTAACAACTAGCAAAACGCATCACTAAGCAACCGCGAGTAGAGGTCGCTGCAGCGAAGAGCACACGGAGTGCGGTGATCTGACCCAGGCCCCAGTTGGATATGACAGTGGCTCAGCCGGAAATGCTTAAGCCGCAGTAAAGCCGGCGCCGAACGCCCGCAACTGCCACGCAGCTTTTGGGAAGGGCTAAATTTCGTCGACACTATAGAACCACTATAGAACCATAAGTGAATCACGTCCTAACTTGGACATTCTCTCGAGAAGGTCACTAACTGGAAACAAAGATCAAACCTCCCAGCGCTGCAACAGCTACAGGAAAGAAACGATATCTATTCCCTGCAACAGAGGCGCTTCCGGTATGTTCCTGTGTGGAAATCTCTGCTAGGTGGACAGTATTGCCAGCATTCTCACGCTTCCACTGACATGCGATTCGGCCAGCACACACCAACTCGTGTTTCGTGGGTCACCGCTTCCTTCTTCTTGCATCGGATAGCAGAGTGGACGGCAGCAATTACCGAGGGAAACCCCCGAATCTTTTAATGCGTACTGATAACGCTGCTGCAGGGGAATAACGGGAAGATGGCGCAGTAGCTTGCAACCCTTCAGGGTCGCTTGTAACGCGGCCGCGCTCTACCTGTACGTGAAGTGGTTGGGATATGTACGGTAGATAGCCCTGCATGCTAAACATTTTTCATCTGCTACGATCATTCTTCTACTGAAATCCAAGCAAATCCCAACTGGAATTACTGGCGTTACGTCGGATGCGCCGAATGCCGACAGGAGCCACCAACGCCGTTGCGGCTTTGTGCGTCGAAAATGCAATGCGGTGAACCATTTGCAGAATCAGGATTGCTATAACGTAACGGCCTTATCAACCCCGCCAAAAAGGTCTGTTTATGCTGGCATCAGATGGTTTGGCAGGGCTGTCGAGGAGGTGAAGCAGCCAGGCGCTCTGCAAGGAACAATTATCCGCTCGCAATTTTTATTTGGAGTCCCGGTTTGTAATTTTTCCATCCGCCTCATCATGACGTGTGCACTGATAGGCTTACTCTCGGAATACCGTAAAATCTGATGTTAACGCCCTGGGCGTTTATTTTTTTGAGAGGCTCGGGAGGGGGCGTTTAAAACGGCAGGGGGCGTTTATTACGGGGGGGGGGGGCGTCTAATTTTTCAAATGAATAACACGCTCAAGATGTGTCAGTTTTAACGAGATTATTATGTATGAAAATTAATGGAATAATTCAGAAACCAAGACATCAGTTAGAAAATCATGGTTTAAGAGTGTGCATTAGCTAAATTAGCAAGATGTACCACTAAGACCGTACCGATATCAGACTAAAAAAGGGCAGCGCCACAAATTATTAGACGCCCCGGGGAGATAATTTCGGGGGGGCTTTTATTATTTCGTGACCTACAAGAGGGGGCGTTTAAAACCGCACGGGGCGTTAATTTCGGGGGGCGTTCTTATCGGATTTTACTATAACGGCAGAACCGTCACTGGCAGTTTTACTGGATTGCCGTCGGTGGATAACGTCCGTTAACCCGTTGCTACGCACCGGGTCATGCCACATCCGCATTTAATTGTTCATGCGTTATACAAGTACTAGTAATACGTACTCTCACTCTTATACCAAGTATTAACCCACGGATTTTTGGGGCCGACACAATGCAACGACCGCATAAAATTATAATCGCTAAGTGTGTCGGTAACAGTGGCACACGAAATGCCCTTTCTCCCACATTCCCCAATCCCGGCAGTTCGGAAAATCTGCGGCTTGGCTGGAAGACCCAAATTTCGTTAACGCGTAACCTGCACATAGCAACAGTCATCTGGATATGGATCAGTTATCGTTGCGGTCTGGCGTGCCCAGTGCACGATGCTTGCCGATATCAGAGCTGCGATCCCACATTTTTTCACTGTAAGTCACCCCGAACAGAACCACAATGCGATTGAATACTGCAACGTTTGCCATGCAATCATAAAATCCCTTTATGGTGATTTTCCGGCTATCCCACTTTCAAAATTATGACGGAATATTATTCGCATTAAAGCGATGCTCTTAAAGCATCTCAACTGGGACTGCTTATGCAGTGCTTCCAGGGAGCAAACGACTGTTTTGGTTGGAAAAGGATCTAAGTTCACTAATCAGCTATTTTGCGCTTACGAGAAATGAGAATACCAGTTCACTGTGCGGCCAGATCGCAGATCGAAATTTATTAGAACGTCGCGTACAAACGGAAAAAAAACGAAGACGAAAATCAGTTTTAGAAACTGGTTGGTCAGCTTCCGATAATGTTCGCACTTCGCAGTTGCACTGCGCTCATGGTAAGCTGGTCAGAACAGATAGCTACAACGTGATGAACCGCTTAGACAACATTCATCCAATTTAGCATAACATAACGATGACCTTTAGTGGACGATGTGATGAGCGAGGCGGCTCGGCAGTAGAGGTCTCAAACCGTACGAAATTTTCTTACGATTACGTACGGTTTTACCGTAGCGCTTTACGGCTACGGTGCTTTTACGGCAGCCATGTTCTGCATCTGTACGGTTACGGCACAAAAATTTTCCAACCCATTACGGTACGGTACGGTAAACTACGGCATGTTTATTTTTTAGTTTTTTTCGACATATGAAACGTTCTTTTCGACATATTCTAAAGTTGCAAATAACTTGACTCAGCATACCGAGTTAAAACATTGTGCAGTTAAAATGCGTCAGTCGAAAGCACCATATCTCGATATTGAATTAACTAACAGGTCAGGCTAATACGAATTGCTAGTACGTGAGTGGATTGAAAGAATTTCTTCAGTTAAGGACTGCAATAACTGCAGCGTTTTTAATGAAGTCAGCAACGGTGATGGAGCCAGTGCCCAATGGCCACTCGCTTACTTTACATGTGAATTCGCAACCAACTTCATTGAAACTGTTGTTTACCTTTTTATTTAAAAAGTGCCGTGCCGTAACTTACCGTAGAAACATTTCATCCGGTTACGATATTACCGTAACTAGTTTATATACGGTTAAGTACGGTAACTTTGTTACCGTACTCATTTCTTATACGGATCCTTACGGTTTGACCGTACCGTATACCGTATACGGTGTTGCCGTATACGGTTTGCGACCTCTACTCGGCAGCCGATCGACGGACGAATTCATGTGCCCCTTCCACCCTCGCTGCGCTCCCTCGTCACCCTGGAGAAGTACCCGGTGGTCCGTGCCAGTTCCGGCGGTGCGGCGACCTTTCACTGCAGTCCTTTGCGGATCCTCCCCAACGCTAACGGGAGCAACGCCAACGAAACAACCGTTTTGTGGGGGCAGAACCAAAAAATGCTGGCGGCACTCAACAGCGACGGGCTCTATTTCAATTACACGGCCTCCGCCGATATCCAGCAAACAGTGGACTGGGCGGCCGCCTCCGCCACGCTGACCATCCGCAACGTCACCTGGGCGTCACGCGGCCTGGTGGCCTGCTTTCAGGAATGCGAAGCCGACCCCGAGTATAAGTACTGCCCGCTGCAGTACTTCCGCTTCCACGTGACGCCCACCGCCAGCGAACTCTTCCTGGCGCCGCTGATGAACATCACAATCATCGGCTCTGATGAGGCGCGCTTCCGGTGCGCCACCAGCCTGACACTGCCAACCGATCCGTTTCACGCTCGGATGGGCTTTATCTGGCGCTACAACGCGCAGTGGCTAGCGGCGCCCCGGTACCACGCTCTGGAGCCCTTCGTGAAGCCGGTAGCCACGCCTCCGCCACGGCGCCCCTCCCCCAAGCATGTCCCGCCGTGGCTGCGGGACCGCATCCCAGGGGAAACATTGGCGGAATACAGGATTTTTGAAAATAACACCGCCGGCGACAATTTCACCAGCACGCTTGTCTTCCCCACTGCTCAGCTGCAGGCGTCGACATTGGCGCGGGTGGAGTGCTGGGTGCAGCCGGATCATCAGCGGGAAGTCTGGCTAAGGCAGACGGCGTACTTGCACTACATGCCGGCAACAGAATTGCTCAGATGGCTGGCTGCGAAAACGGTTACCTAACCGACGCTTCTTTTGGAGGCTTAATATTATTATGGGGATCACCGATGGATAATACCTACACGCACATACAGTAATAAACGAAGCATTGCTCACAGTGCTCACCCTCATTATTATAGGTGGCATGATAAACAGTCACATATGCATATTTAATCGGCATTCGGCATTAAGTTTTGACGGAAGTGTCGCGAATGCTGTGCTCCCAGGCTCCCAGCACGCAGCAGGCAGCTATATATATGCATTTCAGCCGACCACGAGGAAGACATCGTCCAACGTAAGAATATACCCGAGCTTACCCGATTTACCGTAATTTCCATCAAGGTGACACGTTTCAGATTGTGTTCACTGGGCATAATGATTACTTTTCTAGTACTCTGTACTGATGTTTCGGCTCCTGATGTTTCCAGTTTTATGTATTTGCTATATTATCCTCTCCTCTATCCTGTATGGCTGTATCCCGCACTGAGATCTAAATAAGAAAAGAGAAACAGAATATATCTAAAAACAGCACTTAATGCATAATACCTAAGCAGGTGCCTCTTTATGAAAAGGAAGTAAACATATATTTTTTAATGGTTTGAAGCTTCATACATTCACGGTAGGCCAACAACACTACTGTACTCACTAGGCCCGATCAATCCTAGCAAAACTTTTCGAGAAAAATATCGCGAAATAAAATGTGAAAGCAGTATGCGTCATTGTTGGATGACGCACTGCAAAAAATGAGAGTGCGTTGGACCAGTAACAAGCAGTGGATCAGCAAATGAAACGCTAGCACTGACTGCTAAATGAATCGTTCTGCATAAACACAAATGAATTTACAATTAATGCAGGGCCGCAGACGCATATTA